GTATGTTCACAATACAGTAAGTAAAAAAGTTTAACATTTGTATTTAAAGTATGAATTAAATATATATTCATACAGAGAAAAAAGGCTGGAGGATCATAGCACCCAAAATAGTAATAATAGTTATTTTTAGTTGGTAGGTAGCATTATGGGTAACTTTTATTTTCTTCTCTTTGCTCATATTCATATTTTGTAAAAATTTATAACAAAATGTAGAATTAGTCATAAGAAAAAATGTTACCTTAAAATCTTGTTAAGATGAACTTAATTGAGTGTATAACCCACAAAGAATTCTTGGATTCTCCCAAGTCTAGATTTCAAAAAAAATGTGCCAGGCACTATGTCATCTACAAGGATACACAGATCAGATCCATTTTTTGCATTCTAGAGACGAGTTCTGGCAGGAAGTTTTGCAAACAGTTGTGAACAAACAACTAAGCTTTGTATGAACCATTTTCTACTGATTTTCTTAATTGTGTAGAGGTGGCACGGCCTATTCGAGATATTGCAGACTCAATTTGAAGCCACTTCCAGCAGTGCGGCCGTAGACTCATTAACCTCTCTGAGCCTTGGAAATTATTAAGAGCACTCTATTAGAGAAACATAGCTATTGAAGATAAGCAGACAAGAAACACATTATTAATGTTTTGGGAAGGAATTAAATTTTTGTTACAATTTTTACTTGGACAGAGCTAGATTTCTTTTAGATACGGCTTTTTTCCCTTGCCCACTATCTGTGGATCTGTGCAGCGCTTGGGTTTTAGAACAGTCATTCTAAAGTGCTAGCAGTTCGGATTTAATGACTCCATTGGAAGTTCTTATTTTATGGTTCTTTGAGGTTATTTTTATATTTTAAAACAACTGTATCCTTTTAAAAGGTTAAGAATAACCACATGAGGTATAGAGAATCCAGATTTGGGTTTCCATTTGCTGTATACCGCTCAGTTTTAGTACTTCCCTCTGACATTAGAAAATGTAGGCAGTCAGATCTGAAAATGCGTCTCTCTCCAGGTATGCCATTTTTCCCTTGCATTTTGCTGAAGTGTCTGCTGCTTTGATCTCTGATCAAAGTTGCTATGTAAGCATAATGTCAGTCCATTTGAACCAGGAATGTAGCACTTAGTCTTGCCTTTTCCCAGTGGCCTTTCAAAATGAAAAATAAATCAATACATTATGTATGTATGTATTGGATATAGAAAAACAATTTAAAGTTAGGTTTAATAAGTATATATTAAAATACAACAGATTTTCTCCATTAGTTCTTAACCATCAAGAATACTATCTTAAATTTCTATAGATGTGATCCAATATTAACAAAAGAAAAATAGAGAAAGATTATTAACTAGAACTTTCCATCAAGTCAGTGACTCACATGCATCCACTATAACCTCCTTATTGTTTTGTTACTTGGATTGAGACAAGCACTGTGTGGTGCTGGGAGCCCTTGTTACTGACACCTAGGTGACTACCTCATCCCAAAGGATGAGTGGCTCCAGCCTCATGAAGTCTCTTAGGTGGTGCCACAGAGCATGGAGTTAGGAGTTTTAAATGTTAGGCTGTGCCAGCCCTTCAAGACTTACCCCCAGAGTCCTGCTTTTCACAGTCCCAGGGTATTAGTCTCTGAACCAGTCACTCTCTCTCATGGACACTAGGAGCTAGGAACTAGACTATGGTGAACAACTAGAGGATTTGAGGGGGCTTGAGTGTTCCCACTGTTGACCATTCCTGTGGATTTTTCCTCTGCCAGGAATCCGTTCTCTTTTCCTTTCTTGGAGGCCTTTACTTCCCACTAGAGGTCACCCCATTGCTGGACGGTGCTCTGTTATCAGGCGATCAATGTTCAAGGCTCCACGCAGGCTCTCTTCAGTACAGTAGAGAACTGTCTCCCCAGAGCTGTGCCTGTCCTTGGGAAGGGAGTAACTATTATCTTTTGAGTGCTTAAGTCATACAATGACCCGGAGTCCAAACCTAGGCAGTCTGGGTCCAGATAGCATTCTGGGTGAAGTAGCCAAGTTCTTTTAACAGCCTCTGACAGTAAAAAACTGCCTCTAGAATATTATACACTCCTAACAGTAGTCCTTCAGGAAAGTCAGACTGTATCTTGTCTTTCTCCCTCCTGCTTTTCCTACCTTGAAAAGAAATCTTCACTATGCTCAGCTTTTACGTTCATTCACAGGGGAATAGACTCAGCCCTCTGTGAATCTCAAAAGATACTAGTTCCCTGTTCATACTCACACATTAGTGTTTCTAACTCTACTTGTGGAATGGTTCTTACTACACACTATCTTTGGTAAATACCAGGACCCCTGTGAATGCTTGGTCCAACAAACTCTTCGATAAATAACCTCTTAACTGTCCTGGTTGCCTGAGTCACCCAGACAGATGATCCCAAAGAAGACCTTACATTCTTTTTGTTTGTTTTGATTTTGGTTTTGTTTTGTTTTTTGTTTTTTGCATGGGGACAATAGGTACCTTCAGACTCAACTGTCTTTTGTCCAAAATCTTTAAGCCTCCATACCAGCAATTTGCACTGCTGGCCATTTAGCCTAGAGAAACGAAGACTTAGGTTTACATAAAAATATGTACCCGAATGTTTTGGAAGCTTTAACACCCCAAACTGGAGACAACCAGATGTCCTTTGAAAGGTGAGTGGCTAAACAAGCTGTGACACCCTTGTCCTTTGAAAGGTGAATGGCTAAACAAGCATACTCTGGAATGCTCCTCAGATACAGAAAAGAATCACACTATTGCTATACATAACAACCTGAATGAATCCTCAGAGAATTATGTTGAGTGAAAAAACCAACCCCAAAAGGTTACATACTGTATGGTTCCATTTATATAACATTCTTGAAATGACAGAATTGTAGAAGTAGAAGACAGGATAGTGGTTTCCAGGGGATGAAGAGGGTGGGGGTGGGAGGGAAGTAGGTGTGGCTGTAAAAGGGCAATATGAGAGAGCTTTGTGGTGATGGAAATGTTCTGTATCTTGACTATCAGCGTCTGTATCCCAGTTGTGATATTATACTATAGTTTTGTGAGATACTAACACCAGGGGAAACTGGGTAAAAGTACACAGGATCTCCTTGTATTATTTCCTACAACTTCATCTACAATTATCTCAAAAAGTTTAATTAAAAAAATCTTTAGTCCTCCTCACCCCTTGAATAATAGTTAATAGATGTTCTCAACTTTATTCACTTTTATAACTTATGGAGAAGCAATTAATAGATTCCTAGTGATTAAGGTGTAATTGGGGTCCAGACATTTTCTTTCAGGTTTCAAGTGTAATTAGGTCTAATGCATTTGTATGATATTAACTTTGAAATCACATAAATAAATCTGTAATTTGATCAAATGTACTGTCTTACGGGGCTTGTCTTCAAAAGAAAATGGCAGAAGCATTGTCTTTCCTGTGAATTTAAAGGAACTTTCTTGTGAATTTATTTTTAAGTTTTTATTTAAAGTCCAGTTAGTGAATATACAGTGTAATATTAGTTTCAGGTGTACAATATAGTGATTCAACACTTCCATTCAACACTTTGTGCTCCTCACAAGTGCATTCCTTAATCCCTATCACCTATTTCACCCATCCTCCCCATCCACTTCCCTTCTACTGACCAAGAAAGTTTAGGAACTTTCTTGTGAATTTAATGGGTCATTTGAGGGGGTAACTATATAATCTATAATTCTATCTCCAAATGAGAAGCAAACTTTGTCCTTTTCATAGTGTGAACCCTACTATCTTCAGACTAACACCTGCACCATTTTAACTTTAAAAATCATATATTAGAGATAAGCTCTAGTCATGAAGATTCAACCCCCAGTTGTTACAATAAGAAAGTAAAGATACACACTGTGGGTGAACTCAGAATTTTGTTAAAGCAAATTGATTAAGTGGCTCAGTAATACGAAGTTTGTCTAAAATGGTACATATAATTTGTCAGTCCTCATCTTCCAGCCTAGCGCTGATAACCCTTATGATGCAACCTGACTTATGTATTTAAATGGAGCTTCAAAAAATACCATTAATTATTCCCATATAAGTTTACTTAAAGGAATTTGATAACAGCATGAATGACCTCTAAAAGCTTAACCTGAATTTCAGCCTGAGCTACAAATTTGAGATTTTGTACTTCTATCCTACCACTTAGTGTAGTATCTGCCATATTTGGGGCATATAGTAAATGTTTAATGAATTAACACTGATATGCTGTGGACCATACTGTCTGTGCATGACCCTACTTCCATCATCCCTCAAGAGTAGAGTCCAGTGGGGCAGACCAGGCACTCGAGATGTCCCTGAGTGCAGAGGGGAAACCTGAGTGGGTCCCAGCAAGAGCATAAAGGACAGGCAGCAGCATGTTTCAGGAGGAGCAGAATCTGGTGTATGGCAAAGATCGCAGGCAGATTTGAGCCAATTTTTCTTTCACATTGAACAGCAAAAGGGGCAGGGGACAATATCGTGGGCAGATTTAAGTACCAGCATTCAGGATGGATTAGAAATATTTTTCCTTAAATATATCCTGTTTGGTTTAAATGTAAGTATTGATTATTTTTACTCCCTCCCCCCCCCTTGCAAATAGCATTTTATTTCTAAAAATGCTTTTGTGTGCTACTCTGAGATCTAGCCACCATTTATAATGTGAAAAAATGCATTCTGAATTCCAGTTACTTGGGGTGAATTTTCTGAGCCCAGTTTGTCCTCTACTGATGGCACATAATTTGATTCTTTTTCTTTTATCTTTCTGACCATGCTTTCTTGTTTGTGGGCGACAAAGCCTCTCCTTAATAAGTCCTTCAGTTCTCCCTTTTCATTACTTTATTACTTGTTATTTTACCAGCCTCACAAATTGATGCCTTACCCATAGATTTTCATAGCCCCACTAGTTTCTCTGTTTGATAAAACAGCTAGACTTTCTTCATGTCACACCCTTGTTATAACTAAATTTTCTATTTACTGTAGATCCTTGCCAGCACATTTCTGGATATTCTGTTGAACCTTCTTAAGATTTCAGAGAAACTCCTGGGTGACCACTGAAAAAAAAGATCTAATCTTAAGTTTTACGTGAGTATTTTTCTACTGTCGACTTCCTCATAATATGTGAAAGCTTTGATGCCTTGCTTTATGGCAGATTCAGTTATGTGATCAAGATGAAAAATGTTATCTCTCATTGACCTTATTAAATCTGGGGGCAAAGTTAGTTTCTCAAGGACACGGAAACACTCACAAAATGCACCACACTTCTTCTCACTTAAAAAATAAACAAGAAAGGCTTTTTTTTTTTTTTTTTAACTGAGCCAACATTCGAAAGAATCCCAAGTCTTTAAACCACAAGAATTCGTACTGTGTTTGAACCAAAAATACCAAGTAGCTTGTTTTTCATTGTCTATTCTTACAGAATTTAACCAAAACACATTATCTCTTGAAAAGCTCTTGATACGTGATATTTTACTTTTTAAAAAGTTTCAGATAGCTTTTCCTTTTTTATGATAATAATCCAGTGAATACTATAGGGGAAAATAAGGAGGTTACTGTTCAAAGAGAATTCTTTTTTTTTTTTTTTTTATGTTTTTATTTATTTTTGAGACAGAGACAGAACATGAGCAGGGGAGGGGCAGAGAAAGGGGGAGACACAGAATCTGAAGCGGGCTCCAGGCTCTGAGCTGTCAGCACAGAGCCCGACGTGGGACTCGAACTCACAGAGTGTGAGACCATGACCTGAGCTGAAGTCGGACACCCAGCTGACTGAGCCACCCAGGCGCCCCCAAAGAGAATTCCTGACTATTTTAATGAGTAATTTCTTCTCGACAGGATACTTTCTTTAAAAAGTGTTATATAGTGGCATAATCTTAAGTTTATTTTATCTTGATCTCTGTAATTCTTAATCAGAAGCAGATTTCCCACTTATTTAGAGTTATCCTTAACAACTGCTTCTTACCCTTTATATGTAGTGGGTCATTAAGTTGAGCTAATGCTATTTTTCTGTCCCTCTCCAGTGTGCTCCCTTCTCTCTGCCACTGCCTTAGATCAGGCTGTCATCATTTATTCCCTAGATTTCAACAGTGACCAGCTGATTGATCTCCCTGTCTCCAACCTCGAATCTAGCCTCCAATCTAGCCTCTCCCTGTTGCCAACAGAGTAATCTTTCCGAAAGACTGATATCATGAGACTATGCCATTTCCTGGGGTTGAAATCCTTCAGTGACTCCTTATTAAAATTCAATATAATAACCCTTATTATAGAGTTGTGAGGAAGATTAAACAAAATTTACTGGGAACCCTGGGTGCGATGCCTGGCTTGGAGCAAGCCCTTAGCGTGTATTAATGTTTCCCCTTGTTACAGGGAACCCATGGAGGCAGCGGAGCTCTAGTGGAAAGTAACCTGTGTCTAGAGGGACAGAGGCTCTGCTGGGAAACCAGGCTAAAAGGAGAAGGGGCCAAGAATCTCACCAAACTCCGTAGCCATGCTTTCCTGAATCCCCTTGAGGTTAGACAGAAGCATAGATTGGTCTAACATCCAATTCCATCAGTGTTCCAGAAAGAAAGACTTTGTCTGATAAATTACAAGGCAACCCTGTCTGTGACTCAGCTTTTGTAACTCTAGAGGGAGGAAGTCACCTCTATAAAGACATTGGTCTCTGCCTTTGTGTTTTCTTCTTTGGGTTTGTTTTCTCTTCAATTTCTTAGTAAGGTTTCTTTTGTCAGGCTTTAACTTTTTCTTAAAACAACCAAGAGGGGGCCAGTTAGACACACACACACACACACACACACACACACACACACACACCCCACCCACCAAGAGATTGCTGGGGCAGGGAAGTATCAGTGAAAGAGGTGTGGACACACTGGTGAAGCTGGGAAAGCTGAGTTGCTCAGATGGATGAAATTTAAAGTGGAGACAGTTGGGATTGCTGCCTTTGCCCTGCCTCTCTATTCCCAGACAGACCTGTTTTTTTTTTCATCTCTCAGTTTTCAGGAAATGGGAGTTTGGCAAAATCAGGTATTTAGATAACCACAGAACAGAGCCGAATAGGATGGATACTGTAAGAAAGACACTCTGAGTTGATTCCATGATATTTCCAATTTTTAAATTCAGTTTATTGCCCTTCCTAGCTTTTTTCTTTCTATGAAAATAGAGGTTTGTGCTATAGACACAACACTTAGCAGGTCCTTATTGAATGTGAATTAAGTTATTTCATTGTTTTTTTTCATGCTGATTTAGTTAACTTTTGAGCAGATAGTTTTGTTTATTTAGAGTTGTTTATTTAGAGTTGTTATGGAATATCTCAATTATGATAGGCAAATATGTGAAAGAGGATTTTTTTTTTTTTGTTTTAGATAAGAAATCTCTATCAGCAGTAGCATGTGTTTAAAGTTTAAGGATAATGTTATATATGTCTTCTGACAATGCAATGAATCTAAATCTAAGCCATTATATCTTTTTTAACTTTGAAAATCTTTCTTAATCTTTTTATATAATGAACAACGAAATAGAGCTTTAGAATAATTCAATTGCGGTTTTGATTGAATGGATATGAATAAAAGGCATTTTAATGGAAAATAAAATATAATTGATAACTTTGTTGTTGTTTCTGTTTGGTGAGGTAAGTTATTAGAGGCAGGAGGCCAAGAAGGATAAGAAATAGTGCTTTTCTAAATGACTTCATTGTCTTGATTTAGTTTGGCTTTACTGAATCTCACTTACCTCATATTTCGTTACAGGCATATTCCATCCACCACATCAGAATAATGTCCTACGTTTTTGTAAACGATTCGTCTCAAACTAATGTGCCCTTGCTACAAGCCTGTATTGATGGAGACTTTAACTATTCCAAGCGGCTTTTGGAAAGTGGCTTTGACCCAAATATTCGTGACAGCAGGGGCAGAACAGGCCTTCACCTCGCAGCAGCCAGAGGGAACGTAGACATCTGCCAGCTGTTGCATAAATTTGGTGCTGATCTTCTGGCCACAGATTATCAAGGAAACACAGCTCTTCATCTCTGTGGCCATGTGGACACTATTCAATTCTTAGTTTCCAATGGGCTCAAAATTGATATTTGGTAAGTTCTCTGTGGTTTTTGAAGTCTAGTCATTTCTTTCCGTTAGGTTGTCAACCAGTGGTCCAATCTCAGAGTCTGTTGATTCTGCTTTCTCATTGATCAGCTGCAGTGACAAGTTCAAAAAGGCATTGAGGACAAGGTAATCTTGTTAGGGGAGTGAGGAAACAAGAGGCTGACTTCTGGATTTATGCGGAAGTAGTGCAAGCTTGTTTATGAAAATAGTGGTGAGGTTCTGCTAACAATTAATTGTGGTGTGAGACAAGGGAAAAAGAAGAAAAGAACTGACATTTGTTGAAAATCTGTTATGGACCGGGCACTGTGTTTACGTAACGTTAGCTCATTTAATCCTTAGAATGAATAGCTCTTGAGGTAGGTATTATCCTCATTTTACAGATGAATTAGTTGAGACAAGAAGAGTTTAAACAAAGACAGAGGTCACACAGCTGGAATTTGAACCTTATTTGGTTGCTTTAGACTTTTGTTTTTAATTCTTAGACTTTTTGTAATGTATTTTTTTGCTATAAAATATAAATGTCAGATAAGAGTGAATCTAGAATCTGGAACTTTCCAATTAATTTCTAAGAAGCAGCTCTCTTTTTCATTTATTTATTCTCATTTATTCACTTTTACCTGTATATTCTTCCTTTTTCCCTATAAGAAAAAAAAATAGGTGAATTCAAAATTCAAGTTCTAGTTCAACTATTGGTTCTGCACTGTGCTTTAATTTTGAGTTAATTTGGCCTTTGCCTTATCACTGAGATATACACAAATGGGTACTAACAATACAGTCCAGCTGTTACGATGATCTCTTTATATGTATGAACTTTTTTAGCAATCATCAAGGTGCTACACCCTTAGTTCTGGCAAAGCGCAGAGGAGTGAATAAAGATGTCATCCGATTGCTGGAATCTTTGGAAGAACAAGAGGTAAAAGGATTTAACAGAGGAACTCACTCAAAACTGGAGACCATGCAGACAGCTGAGAGTGAAAGGTACTTACGATATAATTTTTTAAGGGGCAAGCCACTTTAAGTCCTTAGATCTTTTATGACAACTTTGTGAGCTTTCTATTTATTTGCTTTCAAGTACAGAGCTTTGGTACTTTCTTTGAACTTTATATAGGTCCGTATGGCTCCAGATTACAATTGAGAAGCTGTTAACAGAAAGGACTACGTGCCCACATGCATGTAATGTTCTGTTAGACCCGTGCCAAGGAATCCTGCAATATTGTCAGCATAAGAGAGAAGAGGTAGTTAAGAGCTGCGTATTAGGGAGGGAAGCAAAGAGTTTGAGAATTTTAAGTGCAGGTCACAAACAGAATGGAATTCAGAAAATGGGGAGAAAGATAAGGCTCAAAACTTGGACAGTATTAGAACTAAGACCAAAAAGGCCCTTTCAAAGGCAGGAAAGTGGAGTGCTGAGGACAAGCAAAAACCGGAGGAGGGAAATTAAGATTTAACACACAATTCTGTAATGGGAAAATGAAAGTGATTCTCCCATGAGTTGGAACAAATGAAATTTGGGCTTTTGTAAGAAACTGAGGCTAAGATGTGGTGACTGACAGGGTCTTTAGTGTCTCATCGTTTCTCATCTAGAAGCAGTTTACAGTAGAGTTCAGGGAGCTCTGAAACTCCTGGCCCCACTGGCTCATCAGGTAAAGTTAGTAGGCCAGACTGAGTTGTACTAGCATGGGTTTTGGTTGACTGCCATGGAGTTGCAGCCATCCAGATACTACAGGGTAGGAAGGATGATGCACCTACTATCGTCCCCTCCCAAAATTTTCAAAAGAATATATTTCAAGGGCCCTCATCAGCTGTTGACCCAGTAGCTTGACTGATCTGGACTGGGAAATAGGATAGTATGGTCCACGTAGACTGCTGGGGTCATGGTTTCTGTGAGTGCTAATGGAATCATCTCTATTTTTTATAGCTGACCCTTAATTTGATTCCTTTGTACCCATGATTGCTTTCCCTCCTCTTCATGTGCTGGCTGGTGTACTCTGTGGGAACCATTAATTCCACTCTCAAGCTTAGGACTATTTGTTTAGATACTTTCAAGAACTTACTGCTGCCCAGAGTAAGTTTTACTTCTAGAACAGCACATGCTGCTCATGAGTTATCACTGGAAGCTGACAAGTAGATAAAATAAGCAGGAAGTCCAAGATACATTGAGATACCTTGGCAAGCCCTTTTCTCACACCTCCGTATCCCGGATTGACAGAATGCTATAAGCAACATAATAACATTGAGTTATCTATTATTTGTTAAATATGCTCTTCCAAGATAACTTGAAGTTTATTTTCACAAATACTTTAAGCTTCTTTGCCGTGAAAAATGTCCAAGAATGTGTTTCTGCTTGGTATATTTTGGGGACCTTCCTTGCTATATTTTGTTAGTAGCCAGTTTCTTGGCATCTTCTTGTCAGAAGTATACTTTTAGCTTTATTTTGCCTCAGTTGTGATTACTTATTAGCTAAGTAGTACGTATAATTAGTCATTTGAGTGGCTCAGTATGAAATATTTACTCCTGCTTTTTTCGCATACCTGTCATTTCCTTTAGTATAAGGATTTGTATTATTTATAGCATTGTGTAAAGCCAGTTCTTAAAAAATTGAATTTTTTTTTTTT